GTTTTAGGCACTGACAGTCAATTACTAGAGCAGACGAACCTTCTATTGCAAGTGGGGAGGAATGTTAACTGCACTCTAAGACAAAAAACTTACGTTGATTCATACGAGGGCGTGTGCTGGGACTGAAACAGCAGCGAAAAGGATGGCATGCTGTTTACTTGAAAGTTTATTTTACAAAGGTGAAACGGGCGAAAAAGGCCATTCAGTGCTACCATAACCCTGTGTTTTGGCAGGCCCGAGGATTTAACTGGAACCCAGTGGTTTATCTGGTAGTTAAGTCCAACGCTCTTTCATCCGAATCTGCCGTCCTCGGACCGGCGCGCAGCCATCCATTCTGACTAATGACACAAGCTGCTTATCAATGCCTGAAGATAACGTGAACTACTTTACGTCCTAAAATGTCATAACTTAGAAGAAAAACAATAGCATTCAGCATGAAAATGATCCAGCGCCCACGGCCACAGAAGGCAACTTGCAAGTTCCGAAGGGCCCAGAAAGAGGATTCTGTAATTAGAAGGAAGTAGATGCAAGCGTTGGAACAAAAACTGTATTGGCCTGGCGCGTCGAAAAGTCGTCCGATCGAAGTCCTTGCCCTAGCGATCGCATCTGCTTTCCAACTACTTCCTGCGAGCTGCATTTTAGCCCCTATCGACCCTGTCCTTTGTGTTTCGACGGTTATGGAAGAGTTAAAGATGAAGTGCGTTGGTGATGTCAGGGGACGTAGTAAAAACGTACTCTAATTGGAGGTAGGAGACTTCACTTTGCCAATGTTTTGTGTGAAAACACATATACGCACATCAATTATGCTTGATATTAAGTAGAAACTGATGGCACTTAAAGATCGCGACTGACTGCAAGATGCCATCTTGCAGTTAATCTGTGTGATGCTGACTGTTAAGCAAATAGGTGGGTATCAAAGTTGATGTCATTTCTAAGCTACTCCGGTAGAATCGCCTCAGAAGTAACGTCCGCCGGATTTCGACACCGACGGCCTAGGCAAACGAAACTAACCGAACCTTACAAAGCAATGATTTTCCCAATACGAGCGATTTGCCCCGGGTTTTTGGACACTGACATTGATTATTAAACGACTGCGTCGTCAAGAAGCGTAGTTCGCAAATGTAAACTTTTATTTCCACTTAGACCACTTAGAGCACAAAGTTTAAAACTTTTTAACGGAGTTAGCAAAACATGTAGGGGTTTGGTTACGGCATTGTGGATCGTTTTGCAAGTGAACGGGCGATAGTGAGTAACCCGTAGACGCCTGAGGTCCGTCAGAACAGGACA